CCCGTGTGCAAGTTGCGCACGTTAAAGATTCCTTGATGGTCTAAAATCGATAAGAGTAGGCTTCGGCCGCCACCCGGACAAAATTCAAAATTTCCTACCAACTGAAAATATTAGGTGTGTCCCACGCGCTCATATGACCTTATGCAGTTGCGAGCGCCATAAAACACTTTACAAAAACAAAAAAATCCCTGAAGCTTAATTCCAATAGACACTTCTTTGCGACATAATCATAGGCGCTTGTTGGTAGAAGACAATCTACGCAATAATATGAAAGCATCTGGTTATCTTTTCCCTTACTGGTATTATTCCTGCATGTCTAAATGGTTTGGGGGGGGGGGGTTAATCTCTAAGGGTAGGTAATTAGTTTTTCTTCATCTAATCCACCAAGTTCGAGGGGGCTGAGAGGGGGAAAAATTCAGAGTTTGAGAATGTGAATGTTTTGTAAAAATAGAGATATCCGCAAGATCAGGTCACAGTTACTTACATTGTGGGGTCGACAGTATTGACGGTTGAGAGGGGACAACTACGCAACCAAACCACTTGCTTCAAACAAACGAGTAACCTTCAACGAATTTTATGTCTAAAAGACTGGGATTTATGAAATGCAGGAATGCGCTTTTACTCTTGGACCTGCTCCATAACTCAATTCTCGGGCTTGGCGGTGAAGTACAGAGCAGTCACAAATACTACACAAAACCTGGACTTAACATTAAATGTGCTCAATCGAAAATTGTTTTGGAGCCGTTGGTTCCGTACAGAGAACGGACACTTTCTTTGTATAGACAGTGTTAGTTAGATTTTGGACATAATCATCCGTCAGTGAGGACCACAAACGTACTAGTTTGGGGGGTCTGATTGGAATTAACAAAACCCCACTTGTGAGAATCAACGGATGACCTCGTTTAGACGACTACATCACGCAACTGCTGGAACGTCAAGCCTTGCCCTTGTTTCATCATGGTGTTATTCAAGAGGATATCTTTATGCATGGCAACGCACCTTCCCACGGGGCCAACACCACTAGACAGTACTTGGAAAACCAAACCATACTAACGACGGAGAGGTCACCAGTAAAAAGCCCCAATATGAATGCAACAGATATATTGAGCCTTATGAAACAGAAGCAGAAGAAACAGGACTTTCCCCTAAGTCGAACACCTTGTTTGTAACTCTATAATAAGACATTTGGGATTAAGTGAGAGATAATATGTCCAACATTTGATACAGTTCATGCCCAAAGGGTTAATTCCCTACACGGTACTACACACAACCGATGAACACGTGCAAGTTTAAGTCAAAGTTTTGTGTAGTATTAATGACTGATCTGTTTTTCAATATGTATAAACTATCTTAATGACGTTTATTGCCGTGACAAAATTATACATTCACTTGAAATGCGAAACATACCCATTCCACCAATGTTGATATACCTCAATTAACCCGCGAGCACTCTATTAAGTTCCTTTGATCCCCGCCAAATTCTGATTATAAAGGTTAATTTTGAATAACTATATCGCGGAGATTATTTATACTATATTCACCCAATCATCCTGTTGAAGCCTTGTACTATCCATTCACGAAGCATACCAATTTAATGCTAAATGAATACTGCATCATCTGACACATTGACCCCTTCACTGTCTGACCTGAGGCTCCCCTTGGGCTGGCTGGATGGACTAAAGGTAGAAGCGAATTCCGTAAAGTCATATGATTCTAAGTGACTTGATGTCCTTCTGTGTCTGTGGGAAAGGAGCGATATACCCCTAGCCCTGAACAAATAAATCATACACATCCTGCTCCAACACCTCATCCCAATCCCCTACCTTATCCTCTACCCTCCTTACCCAACCCTCATTTCAACCCCTGTCATCATCATCATCCAGTGCCAGATCTGTGACAGACATCGGCGATCATGGTTCTCCATTCATTCCTTTGCGCGGATGCTCTAAAAAAAGTTACGTTTCCCTGATCTTTTCCTGTTACTCATTTGTTTAGGTTCCCTAAGTAGGTTGTTCTGGGCCTACCCCTGCCTCGCTTGCCCTCAATTTTGTCAGTGAGAGCTAGATGTGCAAGACCCTTATGTCTATTTATGTGTCCCAAAAACTGCATTTGTCGTTTCCTGATTGTTTTTAACATTGAGCGTCCTACGTGGGCTTCATCAAGCACTACCTCATTTGATTTCTTTTCCTTCCACGATACTCTTAGCAGTCTCCTAAGAAACCACATTTCTGCTGTTTTTATTTTATTTTCAATGTCTTTAGTGATTATCCAGGATTCACAGCCATATAGAAGGGTTGACCAAACATAGCATTTCAGAACTTTCATTTTGGTGTTCATTGATTTCTCCGACAATACACTCTCATTCAAAGGTCTCGGGTTCGAATCCGAGTAGCGCTCGAAAAATTGTCTTCTCTAAAATTGTCTCCTTTCACCTCATTTCCTGCTCTCTAGCAATGTTCTGTCGTCTGCTTTGGTCTCCTCTTTCTGCCCCCACCCCCTCACCTCCTTTGCCCCTTCCTCTGGGCTCCTGATTCTTTCTGCAGCCTTTCTACTGCTACTCCTTCGCTTCTTCTTACACTGCTGTTTTTCAGCCACACGCCTGATCTTCTGGTAGGAAAGATCTACACCTAGCCTTCTCGGACAAGGGCGAAAAATCTCGGAGAGCCCGTGTGCAAGTTGCGCACGTTAAAGATCCCTTGATGGTCTAAAATCGATAAGAGTAGGCTTCGGCCGCCACCCGGACAAAATTCAAAATTTCCTACCAACTGAAAATATTAGGTGTGTCCCACGCGCTCATATGACCTTATGCAGTTGCGAGCGCCATAAAACACTTTACAAAAACAAAAAAATCCCTGAAGCTTAATTCCAATAGACACTTCTTTGCGACATAATCATAGGCGCTTGTTGGTAGAAGACAATCTACGCAATAATATGAAAGCATCTGGTTATCTTTTCCCTTACTGGTATTATTCCTGCATGTCTAAATGGTTTGGGGGGGGGGGGTTAATCTCTAAGGGTAGGTAATTAGTTTTTCTTCATCTAATCCACCAAGTTCGAGGGGGCTGAGAGGGGGAAAAATTCAGAGTTTGAGAATGTGAATGGGGGGGGGGGGGCAAAGTTTTGTAAAAATAGAGATATCCGCAAGATCAGGTCACAGTTACTTACATTGTGGGGTCGACAGTATTGACGGTTGAGAGGGGACAACTACGCAACCAAACCACTTGCTTCAAACAAACGAGTAACCTTCAACGAATTTTATGTCTAAAAGACTGGGATTTATGAAATGCAGGAATGCGCTTTTACTCTTGGACCTGCTCCATAACTCAATTCTCGGGCTTGGCGGTGAAGTACAGAGCAGTCACAAATACTACACAAAACCTGGACTTAACATTAAATGTGCTCAATCGAAAATTGTTTTGGAGCCGTTGGTTCCGTACAGAGAACGGACACTTTCTTTGTATAGACAGTGTTAGTTAGATTTTGGACATAATCATCCGTCAGTGAGGACCACAAACGTACTAGTTTGGGGGGTCTGATTGGAATTAACAAAACCCCACTTGTGAGAATCAACGGATGACCTCGTTTAGACGACTACATCACGCAACTGCTGGAACGTCAAGCCTTGCCCTTGTTTCATCATGGTGTTATTCAAGAGGATATCTTTATGCATGGCAACGCACCTTCCCACGGGGCCAACACCACTAGACAGTACTTGGAAAACCAAACCATACTAACGACGGAGAGGTCACCAGTAAAAAGCCCCAATATGAATGCAACAGATATATTGAGCCTTATGAAACAGAAGCAGAAGAAACAGGACTTTCCCCTAAGTCGAACACCTTGTTTGTAACTCTATAATAAGACATTTGGGATTAAGTGAGAGATAATATGTCCAACATTTGATACAGTTCATGCCCAAAGGGTTAATTCCCTACACGGTACTACACACAACCGATGAACACGTGCAAGTTTAAGTCAAAGTTTTGTGTAGTATTAATGACTGATCTGTTTTTCAATATGTATAAACTATCTTAATGACGTTTATTGCCGTGACAAAATTATACATTCACTTGAAATGCGAAACATACCCATTCCACCAATGTTGATATACCTCAATTAACCCGCGAGCACTCTATTAAGTTCCTTTGATCCCCGCCAAATTCTGATTATAAAGGTTAATTTTGAATAACTATATCGCGGAGCGATTTTTATCATTGATGAAATATATATTTAATTATTAGATATATTAATATATACAAATATTGTTTATTTATTATTCTTTGATTTTAGGACGAGCTGGGGAGAATGAGACGGAAATCTGTCATCGGTTAAAACCACACAGCATTTCGAATAGCTCTGAATAGCGGAAAAAAAAACGGGAATATTGAATAGTAGAAATGAAAGGACACAGCTGTATCACATACCAGCAAGTTACTAATAGTTCACTTTTATCTTATCTTATCAGATCTGATCAATTGCTTAGCTTGTGAAATGTTACCTTATCTTATGTTATCTTGACTTATCTTATCTTGTCTTATCTTGTCTTATCTTGTCTTATCTTGTCTTATTTTATCTTGTCTGATCTTGTCTTGTCTTATCTTGTCTCATCTTTCTTATCTTGTCTTATCTTGTCTTATCTTGTCTTATCTTGTCTTATCTTATCTTATTGTGATGTCTTGGACGCAATTCGCCTTCCATGACGTCACAGCCCTGCTTGCGGAAAATTTGATCCTTAACTTGCCCTTTTGTAATCAAATAGTTTTTAAAATGTCCGAAGTAGAGTAACGAAACTAGTAAATGATCATTCATATCTCTGAGCATAGCGTGCGTGTGTATGTGTTCTTAAATTTGAAGTACAATGTTATTAGTTATCCCTGCTCTCCATGGGCAGGTAGGTAAGGGACTTCAGAGAGGACATCTACGCATCATTTTATGTTGAATATCAGAGATTTATCCACACACACACAACCCAGGTGAATACAATACACAAGACATCAGTTATTGATATGACCCGCCCAAAACTTCATTCAAGTGTACAAATACAAAAATATGTTTAATCCGAGTAGTGACATCATAACAGTAACGCAAGCTTAAATAGCGCGTCTTAAGAGGGGGGGGGGGGGCTCAGTCTGTGCCGTGGTCTGGAGCAGAGAGGATGTCTGGACTAGACTTATGTAACATAATGCGTCAATGCTGCGCAGTTGCAACAGTAGTGAGCACTTGATTTCTTCGCGACTGACTCATTTAGCCATATCTATACCGACATTCATGATCAGCTTCTCAGACTGGTGACCTATTTTTTGGCCGAGGGGCGAATTCAAGATCCCCGTTTTCTTACCATCCACTTTCTTATTATGATATGTAATTTTTCTTATCTTATCTTATCTCATTCTGAGATTTTACCTTCCAGCCGTCCCAGCAGCTCGTCGAGCGCCCCCTCCGGCCCCTTGCAGTCCTCGTGGCCATCTCCGATCATAGCCAAAGAGATACAGCCACTGGATTTGCAGCTGAATATACAGTCACTGAGGATTGCATCTGTGGATGGAATGGGTTGGGCGGGGGGGTGGGGTAGTGGGGAAGGGAAGGAAGCAGCCGGAGAATATCTTGTTAGTTTTAGTCATGTTTTTTTGGTCCTTGTCTGGCTCGGTTTGTGGATGTGTGTGTACGTGTGCGTATGTGTGTGTGTGTGTGTGTGTGTGTGTGTGTGTGTGCATAAGTGCGTGCGCGCGCGCGTGTGTGTGTTAGTGTTTGTGTGTGTGTGTGTTTGGCGATAAAGCACGTTTGTAATTCTGTATCTGTGTCTGCCCCCCCCCCTCGCATACACACATACACGCCTGTGCCTCCATCCACCCCGAAAAAATCCCCTGTACCTGCGTTCTCACTTTGTCCCTTCCCTCAGCACACCAAACTGTGGGCTGGCCCCCCAACAACCTCATCACAACCAACTACGCCCCCCTTTTCTTCTTCAACACACCCTCCCTCGACCAAATCCCAACCATAAGTCTCCTGCCCAAGCCCTTCAACACAAATCGTATTATATGTTCTCCAACTACCACCCCCCCCGGCGCCCAATACACCTACTAGTGTTTCTCCTCTCCAATCCCCCACCCCACCCATACATGCCCTCCTCCCACCCTCCCCTACCCTCGTCCCTAAATCCCACCCACATGCCGTCCTCCCCCCTCTCCCTCCCTCATCCCACCGCCCGCAAATCCCACCGACTCATGCCCTCTTCCTCTCCTCTCATCTCACCGCCCCCCAAATCCCACCCACCTGTATTCTCATCCTCTGCCTTCCCTGTAGAGAAGACGGGACAGTCCACCTCCCCGTCGTTGAACCAGTGCCTCAGCGCACACCGTCCACTAGTGCAGATCTGATGGGGACATTGCCCTGAACACAAAGAACAATTGAGAGGAGAACCCATCATCCGTAAATATCACACAGCATTCAACAACGTTTCGAAGAGCTCTGAAAATGGTGAAATGATAACGGTTTAACGACCCTATCAACACTTTTAGGTCATTTGAAATGCGGGACCTCAGATTTTTAGTTTAGTATGGTGTTTTACGGCGCTCGCAACTGCACAAGGTCATATGACCACGCGAAACAAGTTTTTTTTTTCTCAACAGTTTATATCTTGGTCTGGTACTGGTTAATATTTCTATTTAAAACTTTTAAAACGCTAAAAATCGAGTGTAAATAGATTTCAGATTTAAATTTAAAATTAAAACAACTTTCTAAATGATATTTAAAAATTCATAACTTTCCTTAGAAGCCAATGGCAATGATATCCAAACTTCTGTTGGGATCAACGACGGAAAAAATGTCTTGCAATATTTTATATTTATTTAAAGTATTTCCTTCGGATTTCTCCGAAATCTAGACATTCGGTTAAAATATGTCTAATGGTAAAATCTGTGTCGCATCCAACGCAGAGCGGCTTCTCTTCAATGATAGTAAATAACAAGATTGGCCACTCAGCCAAAAAAGTGTCCGCAGGAAGTATGCTCTTTGCTTCAGATGGCGCTGCAGTCTGTTGTGAAGCTCTCTTTCGTTTTTCCAGAAGAAGAATAGGAATAGCACCTCCTTGCGTGCGCAGATCGACTGCTGTTCATCAGCAGTTCGGGTACGTTCAGTGCGGAGTTTTAGTTGTTTTTTTTTTTTTAATGACCTCTCGCCTTTCATTCTAAAGTCAAATTACACGAAGAAAACCATCACCCTTTCCTCCGGAAGAGGTTTTTTGTCAGGGTAACCATTTTTTTAAAAGCGTTCTTCCGAAATTTATCCCAAAACTTGCTAGTTTCACTTTGATTTTTAAAAACTCAAGTAGGGTAACTCTGTTCGCAAAAAGTGCGCTTTTGTGAAGAGGGCGCCACCAAATTTTGAGGACACTTTTTTAATTGGCTCAAAGAGAGAAGTGGCCCATCTTGTTATGTACTATCTTTGTTCTCTTCAGGGATCGTGTGTCCGATGCGTAATCGAGTAAAAATGTCTTCGTCTCTTCAGGAGAGGTCTGAAGGATTTCGCGGTCCCAGTTTGGGTTTAATATTGTGGAGTTTGTTACCCGTCTGTTTTATCTGGTGGCTCTCCCACAGACTTGAGGCTGGAGGTATACTGTTTTACTTTATTTGTAAAGTCAGTCTGTGGGAGAGTGTTCGTCGTTGATCCAAAACAGAAGGGATAAGGATTTCTTTGCCAGGTCATCTACCTGTTCGTTTTCTCGGATGCCCACATGGCTAGGTATCAATGCGAACAAGATATTTTCCCCTGTTTCAGTTAAGGTGTGTATTTTCTGTTGTAGCCTAACTATTTAGGGGTGTAGGAGTGTGTAGTTTGTGAGTGAGGTAATGCAAGACAGAGAGTCAGAAAGGATAAGGAAAGATTTGTTAGGAGAATTTTCTACGGAACCCAGTGCCATGTCAATGGCGGTGGCCTCCGCAGAGAAAATGGAGGCTTCAGGATGGAGTCTCCTCTGGTGTGTACTGTTTGAAGATAGGGCTGCGGTGCCCACATTATTGTCTTTTCAGGAGCTATCTGTGAAGATAAGCTCCGAACCAGGGTATTTTTTCTGTAAGTTGTCTGTATTCTGCTTTAAATGTTTTGGTGTTTGTGCTTGCTTTGTCGTGTGTGGTCAGCTGTAAGTCTACTTTTGCCTTCGTGAGGTGCCACGGAGGGAGGTCGGGGAAAAGAAATTGTTGGATGTCTTGTTTGGAAAAGTGTATGTTTTTGAGGTCAGAGTTTAACTTTCATCTTCCAAAAAAAAAAACTGAGCCAAGTAGAAAGTTCGTGTAAAGTGCCTTGCTTTCCGAAGGACACAACCTCGGACCGAGCTGAGGCTCGAACTCGATTAGTTGTGAATAGCGAAAAATATATTGAATGTTGAATGGTAGAACCGGATGTGCACAGCTCCCCCACATACCAGCAAACGTTATTAATACAATCATCTTGTTAAGAGTTCACTCTTCTCATTCACTTGTAGACTGAGGTCAGAGATCATGGGTCCACAGTCGTCATGCTCAGGTCAAAGGTCATGTTTAGACAGTCGACATGCTAAGGTCACCACACTACCACCACCACATCATCCCAACCCCACCATCATTATAACCACCGCAATTACCATCACAACCACCACATCCCCACCACACCACCACCACCATCAACACCACATCACCACCATCACCACCATCACCACAGCATCCCCACCACACAACCACAACCATCATCATCATCACTACCACCACTCTCCCACCACACCACCACCACAACTTCCACCACCACCCTCACCCCAATCACTACCATCATCACCCTCACCACCACCATGACCACCATCGCCACCAACACCACCACCATCACTGCACCACCATCACCCCCCCCCCACACACACACACACACACACACCACCACCACCACCAGTTGTAGCTTCAGTTCCACACTCTACTGCCGCCAGTAATGTCCCCAGCGTACCCCCAGACAGAGGATAAAATGGTTTGGCCACCTGTTACACATTGTCATGTCACCTGACCAGCCAGCCTCGAGAGCCTACAACACGAAGTACTCAAGCTATAAAGGAAGAGGAAGGCCACGCAAAAGGTGGATCGAGGGTGTCAAGGAAACCATAAGAAAACAGACCATCACAACTGAAAGAGCTGGCCTACCACAGAAAACTGCATCTCCCCTCGACGCTTAACGACAACAGAGGATGAAAAAAAAAAGTAAAAGTAAAAGTAAGTTAAGTACCTCCACAGTTCTGCTCGTCCGTCCCATCCCTGCAGTCTCTGTACAGGTCGCACGTATCTGCCTGGCTGTAGCAACCCCATGAGGCGCACGACTTTTCCATAAATTGGCATTCTATGTAGTCTGGGGGTATAAAGTGGGTGGGGGGGAGAAGAAGAAGAAGAAGAAGAAGAAGAAGAAGAAGAAGAAGAAGAAGAAGAAGAAGAAGAAGAAGAAGAAGAAGAA